TTCTTGTCACCCTACACGAGTTCTTCACCCGCGCTCGGCTGAGTCTGTGACAGTCCAAGTTCCTGTGGGCTGTGGGTGGCCCTGCTTGTGACCTCCCTTTTCTGTACTTTAACTGTAGCTCAGGTCAGCTACCCTGAGAGCCCTGCGGCCACGGCTGCCCCAGAGGAGTCAGATCATGCTGGCTCTGCCCCAGGATGCACTTCCTTCTCACCTTTGTTCCTTCCAGTGGTGGTCCCCTCTCCCACTCTAGTCAGCTGCCAAATGCCCCTTCTTTTCCATCATCTCCTTTCCCCCCTTAAGTTTAAACCGACTCTCCCATCGCATGTTACTGGTTTCAGATTCCTCCACATCCATTATTTGCTTTGAACCTCATGACATCCCTGGGAGGTGGGCAGGGCAGGCATGACCATTCCCTTTCATGGGTGAGGAAACAGCTCAGGTGAGAGGTGTCCAAGGTTAAAGAGGCAAAATGTTCTTCCAGCGGTCAGAGCAGCCCATCCCAGCCTCGGATGACCTCTCCCTTCCCCATCACCTATGACACCGCAAAACACCTAGGGAGGCCTCCTACTGCCACTGTTCTTGGAACTTATCTCCCCAAGTTAGTTGTGCATATGCCCGAGGGCAGGGGCCATGGCTCACACCTCTCCTGCCTCCCGGAGCACCTGGAAGGGGGCAAGGAGGACTGACATGTATGGAGCACCTACTACGTGCCAGGCCCTTTCACACGCAACCTTTGATTCCTCACGACAATCTATGAAGTGGGAACTATGATTGCTCTCGTTTTACAGAGGAAACAGGTTCAGAAGTTCAGGAGCTTCTCTGAGGTTATGCTGCTGGTAAGCCGAGCACCGTAAATGAATGAATGAGACAGTAAGATCCCCAGATGGAGATCGGAAAGGAAACTGGACCTGGTTCTAGGCAGAAGTGGTCCAGGCCCCATGAACAGGGATGTTCTCACGCCAGCAAGACGTAGTCAGCTCCAGAGGCGAGGGTGAGGGTGGTGAGGAGAGAGAGGGGTGAGGTTAGAGGGGTTAGGGTGAGGTTAAATCAAGGTCTTACACCACGGAGCCCACGAGGGGCCTTTCCCAGCTGATAGCATCTTCTGGAGCGAGAGCTCACAGTGAAACGCTAGCTCAGTTGTCGGGCTGCTGGCTGCTTCCCTGTGTTGCGGGTTGCTTCTGGACGGGAGGAGGGATGTTAGGGTGGCTGAGTTTGCTCTGGGTCAATCTGCCACTCCTCTGAGGTCCTCTCTCAAAATTCCCCTCACCCTGGCCCTGGGGGTGGAGGTGGGGCCGGGGTGTCCCCTGTGGAAGGGGTGGAGGGCAGCAGGCTCCAGGGAGGTTTGCAATATGCCTGAGTGGGAAGGAGGAAGCCCTGCTCTCCTGGGATTGGGCCTGAGAGTGGCTCTGCAGTTTAGTCTGTGGAGGGGAGGTTTTTGGACCTCGGTGTGCTTCAAGATTACCTGACAGTCTTGTGAAAAGGGCAGATTTCCAGGCACTGTCCCTAGAGAATTTGATTTGGGGTGGGGGGAGGGGTCTGGGTGGGGCCCAGACCCCTGAATTGTTAAGCTGTGTAGGTGATTCTGAGGTAGGCAGTCTGGAGACCCCACTTTGAGGAACACTGAGCCCCGTAAAGAGCCCTTCTCGGGCTTCCCTGGTGGCGCAGTGGTTAAGAACCCGCCCGCCAATGCAAGGGACGTGGTTCGAGCCAGGCCTGGGAAGATCCCACATGCCGTGGAGCAACTAAGCCCACGTGCCACAACTACTGAGCCTGAGCTCTAGAGCCGCGAGCCACAACTACTGAGCCCACATGCCACAACTACTGAAGCCTGCATGCCTAGAGCCCGTGCTCCACAACAAGAGAAGCCACGATAATGAGAAGCCTGCGCACCGCAACAAAGAGCAGCCCCTGCTCACTGTGACTAAAGAAAGCCCGCGCACAGCAACAAAGACCCAACACGGCCATACATAAATAAATAAATAAATAGCCCTTCTCTTTTGAGCAAAGAGGCCTCTAGCACCCAAGCCCCTCCACTGAGAGCTGCTTTCTGATTGTCCCTGAGATGTGCAACACCAGACCTGTTTGAGTGAATCACGCTCCACCCCAAGCACACGTGCCCTGAGAGCGTGTCTTTCTCTCCCGGGCCAGCTCTGTCGTGTGCCACTCCTCGTCCCTCTGACATAGGCAGCCCAGCCCTTTCAGGGCCTGAATGCTCTGGGAGGCACCAGCCTTTGCATCTCCCATGGCACCTCACAGACGGCCCAGCAAGGCCAAGACTCTCTAAGTAATGGTATCAAAGTTGTCCTCTCAAGACCTTTAGTTATGACAAGCTTCAAGATCCGTGCCTCAAAGCTCCACCCCTATCTTGCACCCCTGCTCCATTTTTCTGGACAAGCCCCTTAAGCAGCATTTCTTGCTATGGCATAGCTATTGTTTCCAAAAGACACGTGTCCTAAGAGTAGGGGAAGAGTACATAGAGTAATGAAGGCAACACAACACCCAGTTCTCCTGCCCATCTGCTTGCCTGTCCATCTACCCACCTACTCATCCACCCAACCATCCATCCATCCATCCACCCACCCATCCATCCATCCACCCACCCGTCCATCCACCCACCCACTCACCAATCCATCCATCCATCCATCCATCCATCCATCCATCCATCCATCCATCCATCCATCCATCCATCCACATGATAAGCACGTCAGCTGAGTCCTACACTGAGCTAGGCACATGGTAAGGGATCTAGAGATCTGATTTCTTTCTCCTCCTATGAGAGCTCACCATCTAATGGGTAAACTAATTACTACAGAAAAGGCAGAATTGTAGTCAGTGCCCCAAGAGAGGTGTGTTCAGGGATTAGATGTGGGTGGAGCCATGCCAGCCCTTACTCTGTCTCCAGCAGAGCCTCTTCCCTTATTTGAGCCCAGGCACTGTTGGAGTAGAGAGGGATTGGATCGTCTAAAGTCCTAGACAAAAAGTTCTGCACCATTTTCTCCAAAGACACATGAGAACAACTCCTGTCCAGACACCCTGTCCTGAGCCAGGCAGGGTCCATCAGAGGAGAGACCCTCTTCTCCTGATGTCTTATGTCCCAATGTTGAGCCACGTCTCTGGACTGGGAGGTAAAAGCCTGAGCAGGAGGAGAGATGCAATCAGGGCCAGGGGGCCTCTCTTACCACGGGGCACTCTGGTGGTCTGGGGGCCTCAGTAGTCAGTCCAGGATGGGGCAGGGCCTGCAGGGGACCCTGGCATGTTGGATGGGAAAGTAGAGGATAAGAATCCCAGTGTACGTGAGGGTAGCTGAGCATTTCCAAGGTGACTGCTGGGCCATCGTTGAGTGCCCAGGTGATGAAGTGGGTTTCCTGGGGAGAGTGGGAAAGTCCCTGGGCAAGGCATCAAACCATGAGGGCACCGGACGTGCTGAGGTTACTCCCCTGGCTCGTCCCCACCTGGGCTGCAGGAGCAGCCACTGTGAGGCCTGGGAAGGAAAACCTCTGCCTTCGATCATCGGTCAAGTTGGGAGTCCTTTCCTTATCAGTGGCTGCCTCCCCAGCCCATCACCGGGTCCCTCGGGCAAACTCACCATGGTGTTTCGCCCTGGGGAGCTGGAGCAGCCAGACACAGGGGCCTGGCCCTTGCCCTTCTCCCACAGCGTGTAACGGCCACTCGGTCGGTAGGTGGGGCTGAGGACTTCAGGGACTCGTGAGTGAGGGGCCTGGGTGGGCACCTGCGGTGCGCTGCCCTTGCGGCCATAGCTCTCCAGGTAGTCGGCCAGGTACTCGGAGCGGCTGGCTGCCTGGTAGAGCCCCTGCAGGGCACACAGCTCCTTGCGCGTGCGGGCCAGCATGGGGCTGCGGCCCAGGTCTAGCCGGTAGCTATCTGAGGTCCGGAGGCTGGAGAAATCCCGGGCCAGGTCTGATTGACTGTTCGACTTCTTCTGGGTCAGGGTTACCCCCTGGTCACGGGCATTGATGGGCAGGTAGCTGAGGGAGCTGGTGGTCACTCCATAAGGGAATCCACTGCCCCCGCTGAGTCCACTCCCTGAAGGCCGCTCGGTGCCCCGGGTCTGGCTCTCCGCACGCTTAGCGCCCCCGATGGCATCGGGTCTCAGCAGGGGGCGGCCTCGGTCATAGTCCAGGATGGAGGGGGGGCCATACGTATGGGGACGGGTGAGGAAGCTGGTGGGGGGGCTGGGCTTGAAACCAAGCTTCTCCTTCTCCAGGAAGGAGGCAGCCAGCTTGGCCCCGTAGGAGGAGGGAGTGTAGGTGCCGTAGCCCGGTTTGGCACAAGGGGCGTCTGCGTAGCGGGCCGATTCCGGGCGGCGCTTCAGGGTGGAGGAGAGCTGGGACATCCTCGAGGGCGGCACTCAGGGGGAACTGGGAGCCTCATGGGCTGAAAGACAAGGAAAGCAGTGGTCAGAGGGCCCTGCCGGCGCTCAGGCTCCCACTGTACCTGCTCGCCAGCCCCAGCTGGCCAGCCCTCAACCAGGGACCACACAGTCTTAATTCCACGAGAGGCTGGCCCGCCGCTGAGACACACCTCTGCATTGGCACGCACGCACGCAGGCATGCAGGTCTCCACGCAGGCATGCATTCACACCTCAGGGAAAGCATGAGAGCTGAGCTGGCTTTCATAAACCACACCGGGCAATCAGTCTCAGCACGTCCTGGCCACTCCAATTGCTCCCCTCAAAGACCCCAGGGTGAGGCAGGGACTGCCCTGCCTCTGCAGCCCTTCAAGCAACGAATAGTATTCCAACCCAGGTCCCATCTGCTTCCTCTCCTCAGCTTCTGCAGATGCTCCCGAGATGGGGGGATGCCACCGCCCTCACCCCCTGGATTGGAAACGCTGGACGTTCCAAGACTGCTCCCTTGCTTTCTGACCTACGGGACGAGCAGGAGTCTTTTGCGAATCTTACACTGTCTGAGCTGACATGACCTGAGAGGACCACTTGGCCAGATCCTTGATGAGGAAAAGGAGGCCCATGCGGTTTGGGGGAGGCGGCGATGAGTGGCTGAGCAGGAGCCTGACCTTGGTCTCCAGACCCAATCCCAGAGTTCTTCCCTGGACATGGTCACCTTGCTGCCGTGGGGGATCCTCGTGTGGTAGAGCCCACCGTCTTCACTGATCTAAGACTTCTGTTTCAAGTGGAGTCAGGGCCCTGTGGCCTGCCAGGGGTTCTCCCCTACCAGCACCCATCACAAACTGCTCATGGTGATAATGACTTGTGCAAAGGGGGCCCCCTAGAGGCTAAAATCCTGCACTGCAGGCAGCACTCCTGTCCCTACCCCAGTCCTTGCAGCTGGGGTGGGTCCGCTGAAGGAACACAGAACCTCTGAATTAAGGAGTTTTGAGAGCCCTAAAGGGTCATCCATCTTTTTTTTTAAGTTTCACGTCATATATATTTGACCACAAGTAAAAGAAGACATTTCCACATCCATCATCCAATTGAATCTTCCCAAGGTCCCAGGGAGTGGGCAGCCATGACCACCCTTTACATAGAGGACACTGAAGCAGACAGAGGCGAAACAGCCTGAACCAAGTCTCACCGCAGAGACATCAGATTTGGGAATCCATCCCAGATTTCCCCACTGCTGAAACAAGGGTGATTATCAGTTAGATGCATTGCACCTGTTAAGTACCCTCACTGTTAAGGTCGCTTTAGTTGTTGCTACAAAAGACTTGCACATCCTCCAGATCTTACTCAGACTAAACCGTAAGATGTTTGCCTAAGTTGTTTTTCAGGAACTTGGAGTCAGCTGTGTCCAGGGCATGCTCCAGCCAATTAAGACTGGTTAGGACCATCAACCCCTTCCTGGGCATCTGAGAGTGTCCACTCAATGAGGGGGTCATCCATCTCAAGTTCTCTGTTGTACAAATGGGAAAAGCGCCGCTGACTTGCCCAAGGTCACGCACTAGCAGGCCCAGGGCTGGCGCCCATGTCTCTCAGACTTGCAGCCCAGTGCTCTTCCCACTTTACCTCGACTCAGCACCCCCATCACATTTAGGCTCACGTGGGGGCCCGCAGAGTCCCTCCATCACCGTGAACATGCAGGCTTTATCTATAATGGAGCTGGAGGGCAGAGGTGCTTAGAGGGAGGAGCAGGTAGGATCGGGCCTCTTTCCTTGAGGGTCAGCAGGGGCTCCTGGGGCGGTGAGGGTGCAGAGTCATCCAGGACTCTCAGAGGAGTGTGCGTAGGGGCCGGTTTTGACGTGCTCCGTGGCTGACTAGCTGGGTGATTTTGCCCTAGTCATTTAACCTCCCAAGCCCCAATTTCCTCATCTGCAAAATCAGTATAATAATCATCATTATGATTCCTGCCTCCCAGGGTTGTTGTGAGGAATAAATGAGATAATGACATGTGAAAGCTCTCAACAATGACAGTGGTTATTATCTCCTCCCCCAGCCCCCGCCAGGCAGCCCGGCTCCTCCCTTTGTAGGCCTGTAATAATGTCAGGGCTGGCTGTCTCCTGCCTGGCGGGCCTCTGACCGCAGCCCCGGGCACCAGGCTTCTCCCAGCAGCCCCCAGGGAGATGAGCGGATGAGCGGGCAGTGGGCAGAATCTAGCTGTTTGGCAGCCAGTGGCTCGGGCAGCCCACAGCCTGCCCTAGGCCGCAGCCCCAGCCCATTAGGGCAGAGAGGAGCTGGTGCCAAGCCTCAAGTGCTGAGGGCCAGGCAGAGAGCTCTAGAAACAGTCCACGTAAGGCGTGAGATAGGTGCAGGGGTGGGAGGTGAGCAGGTGGCACCTTCCATAGAGGCCCCAGAACAGAACTTGTAGGCCCTGCCAGAGACCCCCAGCCATTTTCAGTCTAGGCCGGCATCAGAAAGGCCTGGCTTATAAGTTATCGTCCACCCTTTTCCCGCCTGGCCTGGAGGCCCCCTACCCTTCATGTACACTCCCTCCCCACTGTGTTCCCACCTCCAGCATGACTTTCACCCCTTTCTAGGAAAAGAGAACTGGAGGAGGGCTAGGGGAAACCACAAGCTTCCCTCCCATCTGCTTAGCTTTCTGGGGTCCAGAGAAGGAAGAGAATGAAGGCTGAGAGAGGCCAGGGGGAGAGATAGAAAGAGGCACAGGGGGCGGGGGCGTGGGACCAGTCCTCCTCGATTTCACTTTGGAGAGCGCCATCAATAATTCAAAGTCAAAGAGACTCCAGGTCTCAGGAGCTGGGCTCTGGGACACCTGGCAGCCAATCAGATATGACCCCACCCCACCCCACCCCCACCAGGGCAGGAGCTCATACCTCCTCCCCTCGGGCCTCTCTACGCCTCCCCGCGGTGAGGTTCCCAGGCAATTGGTATTCTGCAGGCAGTGCCCCAAGCTTGCGACCTCTCCTGGCCCTGCTGATGCGGAAGTGCTGGGGCCAAACAAGGTGCAGGAGACGGGGACAGACGGCCCTGGGATGGCCCACAAGTAACACTGGGAAGGGTTGGGGTCTGGAGGTGGAGCCATACCTTCCAGTCCCCAGAATGGCAGGAGGGCTCCTAAGTCCCTCTCTCCTGTCTACTTCAATCTGGCAGGCAACTGACAGCCCTCTCCCTCCCTGCAGTCTCAGGTGGTCATGCCATCACTAACAGCCCCCTGGAAGCTGCCTCTCAGCGCTGGAAGCTGGTTTACAGTTCCCCTGTCTGGGGAGAGGGTCCCTATTGGGGCTGAGGCCTTGAGCATGCCTATCCCCTCCCCCAACCCCCAGTTTCACTCTTGAGGACAGTGCCAGCCAGCATCTTTCAGGTGAGCAGACAGCTTGGGTTGGCGCCCCTTGCATTACCTGGCACGGCTGTCCCTGGAGGCTGCAGAATGCACCCCGGGCGGGAGAGTGGGCCGGGGCCCTGGCTATAGCCTTGCTGCGCAAGACAGGGACAGGACGGGCACTCACATGGCCACGAGTCTCCTTGTTGCCAAAGGAACGGCCTGAACTGAATGGCCCTTTCATGGGGCAGTGGGAGGCCAGCCGATTGGCTGTGATCCCCCGTCCCCCTCCCTGCCCAGCATGGGGCCCCTGCTGCCCGACTCCTTTCACTGTTTACCCAGAGCTGGCAAGTACAGGCATGTGGTTCCAGCCAGTGCCTCCCCAGGTGCCCGCCACCTCAGACAGCAGGGGCAGCCTCGCTGCTAGCCTCCTCCTCCGTGCCATCTCACCGGGGCCCTCGGCTTTTCCCTGCTCTGCCAGGCTTCTCTCTCACTTTGCTCAGTTTCCCTCTCTTGGGAGGTGTGGTGGCATTCCTCTTCCTGAAAGGATGAGTGAGCCAGCTGGCCACTGCCCCGCCAGCAGGTACTGAGCACCCCTGGACCAGGCATCACCCTGAGTGCTTCTTGGGCTGCCTCTCATTTCTCAGCAGCCCGAAGTCCAACACTCATACAGCCTTCCCCGCGCCCCTGGCTTACAAACATCATTTGAAGGTTTAATTTTTTTACATTAAATTGAAATTCAAAATATTTTCATTCACAATTTTAAAAAAGTAGACAAGAAATTTAAATAATGAAACATTCAAATGAAGCATTTAGCATTCATATTTCTGAAGTTATTAAAGCTTAAAACTGCACTAAGGCTTCTGTGTATTAACTCAATCCTCACGACTGCCCTAAGCAACAGGTGCTATTATTATGCCCATTTGCAGATGAGGAAACTAGGGTTCAGGGAAGTGATGTGGATTTCCCCAAGGTCACACTGGGAGCAGTGACGGAGCTGGACTGGGACCTACCTGGGCTCTGTCTGCTGACAGCTACCCTGGAGCCAACCCCCCACCTCCCTTCTCACTTCCCTGGCCTCTCCCTGAGCTGGCACAGGGTGGGGGTCTGCAGCATGGGGTTGAGGGGGATCCAGGCATCCACTGTCTAGGCAACAGCATGGCAGGTTCAGACTCCCGCAGGAGCTGCCCTTTGAGTTTCCACTGCAGGCGAATGAAAGCGAAGCCAGGTGCAACCTGAGCCCCAGTACGATGCTGATCGGCCGAGGCATGGTCCAGGAGGCCTCCATTTCACCCATGATGCCAAGCTCCTGCATGTCCCCTGGCACCAGCATCTGGCCCCAGCCAGGGCCCTTGGCCCAAGGCCTGGTTATGGACATGCCCCCCAGCCTCCTACCCTTGCTGCAGCTCAGCCCACCCCCCCGAGGTACCCAGACTAGGTGAGTCAGGGGTTAAAATGAACCCCATCTTCCTGGGGCCACCAGCCCTTTACGTCAGCCACTGTCATTTCCTGTTGCTCACGTGAAGGGCTCCGTAACCTGCCCAGCTAGGGGAGGGACTTGCTCCCCAGGAATCCCTGGCACTCCTGGCCCCCAGGGTAGGGGATGGGTGATGCCCAACATCCCAGCAGCCTTCACGGCCCCTCTCTGCCCAGATCTGCTCTCCTTTCTGGGGTGAAGGCGTGCCAGCTTCTGTGGCCTTGCCACTGCCTGGATAGAGAGTCCCTCGCTGGGCTTCAGAGGTGCACCTCAGCCGGATTTAGTCCCTTCCCTCCTACTCAGGTGTCCGGCACAGGTGAGTGGGGAATCCCAGCCAGTTCCACTAGGTGCTTGGGAACCTCCACAGTGGTGACCTCAGAGCTTCCCAAAGCCGCTTGCTAACAACATCGGAATGAGACAGTGAGACAGCTGACCTTGAAGGGTAAAGTGGGCTGAGAGAGGGGCCCTGTCATCTACACTTTCCAAGCCGCACGCCCAGCTGCTGGGGCACTGTCTACACACAAGCGTCAATTCCTAGGTCGAGGAATGTCCCGGCCAAAGCAGAGGATGCAGGTGGAGTGGAAGGTGAGGGTGAGGGATATTTGTGCTCTCATAGTCTAGGAGTTCTGTTTACTCCTGTCAGGCCCACTCCCCTCCAGCCTGCCACTAGCGGCTCTGCCTCTCAGGGGCTGGCACTCACCCCACGGACCCACCAGTTTAGTGCCCAATATGCCTTGGCAGGGGGTCATCCAAGGGGCAGTGGGTCCCTCTCAGTCTCTCCAGATCCCAGCAGTTACCCAAGGACTGGGAGGGGGTGAAGAGGTAAGATAAAGAGACTGGGGATTAGAGCCAGAATCCCGCCTGGGGGAGAATTGGTGGGTGGGTTTAGGGCAGTGTCTCTATAGGGCGCTCCTTGATTTGGGGTTGGGAGCGGGTGGGCATCTCTGCACTTCCAAGAAAAGGCAAAGATATGGGCCCCCGGGCAGTATTGGAGCCCTTAAATTCTCTTTTCCAACCACCTCCGTTCCAGGCACTCTCCTGGTACCCACCCCAGGGGAGAGCCCCAGGATCCCTCCCTCTCCTCTAGGGCTTCATCGTTCCTCCTCCTGGCCTCTGAGCCCTTGGTCTTGTCCGTAGCACCTACCAGGCCCGGTGGGGCGGCCTCTCACATGCTCCCCCAGACAGACAGGGCTCCTCCAAACAGACAGTCCAGGGCCCTCTGGACGATGGCCCTGTGAAGTTCGGACATCAAAGGGGCAGTTACTGACCTGTGTCTGGGGATACTGGACAGGATCTGGGGGCTTCTCCTTCCCCAGCAGGGCAGGGAGTGCAGTGGCCAGCCCAGAGGCAGGGCTCTGACTCAGGCCGGGTAATCCGGAGCTCAGGTTACCGACTCCGATATATATAGTATCTTATCTGACCTCACGGAGATGGCTAGCTCCACTCGCTGGCATTCCAAGCTCGGGGAGAATTAAAGGGGCAGTGGCAGGCCCGCCCCTCGAGGTGGGCCGGTGCCAGGCAAGGAGATCCTACGAGACTGTTTGAAAGGAGGCATTTTGAAATGGAACAGAAGGAGGATTCAAGGGGAAACAACTGGAAAGAGGGTAGAGGGAGGCGGGTGGGATTAGGCAAAAATATGGAGAAGGTGTCAGTCGCTGAACTGCAGAAGAGCAGGAAGCCTCAGTCCACCTCCTTTAGTTTTGAAACGGAGGAGACCTAGAGGCAGACAGCAGCTCGCCCTTTCAAGGGCACACAAGTAGGGAGAGGCCGGAGGGACCCCTCTCAGGTTCCTGGTCCAAACTCTTTTATAATGGACTTCTAGGCCTGGGCTTGTATTCCAGGGCTTTCCCTTTTATTGGCTCTGAGACAGTGGGCAAGTCACTTAAGCTGTCTGGACCTTATTTAGTCTGTAAAGCAAAAGCAATAATAACGCTATACCTCACGGGTGTGAGGGTTAAATAATATTTGTAAATTTCCTGGCACATAGTAAGAGTTCAATAAATGATAATTATTACTATATTGAATACTTCCACTTATTATTATAATTAGTGGTAGTATTTGTAGTAGTACCTCCCGGGTGAAGCTTGCGAGGGAGAAAAGGGCCTCCAGGCCAGCCTGCGGGAGTGCTCTGTTCTAATGCCAGAGAACAGCGCCATGGTTTTCTGAGCTGGTCCATGTCCCATAACTGGCAAGGCAAATGAGGCTTGCCCTATTCCCAGATGTCCAGTCCACCTATCAGAGAAGGGCCAGGCCCACTTGGGCTCCTTCCTCCTCCACCCAGAAAAATATAGCAAGTGCAGATTCCCCCAGGCTACCGGGAGCAAGGCTGGCTGCTCTGGTGTGTCCACTCTACCTGTAGGGGTGCTCAGGATGCCGAGCCTACGGAGCGGGACTGGCTGGGCAGGGTCACGGGAGGAAGCTGCTGCATTCTTAACCTCTTGGGCCCTGGTGCTCTTGTCTGCTCGCAGTCTGTTTCTCCTGTTTCTCGATGGCTCTCCCTGAGCACTGGGAGTACCCGGGATGGTGCCTCCACCCCGTCTCAGCAGAGGCTACTGACTCAGCTCAGGTCACGATGATGCACTTCAGAGGACGCCCTCGTACCCGGCTCTCATTCCAGTCCTCGTTCCGACTCCAGTTTGGCATCCTTTACAGCATCAGAAGAGTGGTGGCTGCTCCAACCCCAGCCCAACCAGCTCTCCTTTCCTCCACTTTATGCGTCCCCGACTTGGGGACCTTCTCATGCCTGTGCCTGGGGAGGTGAGCATCAGCAGGATGCAGCTCAGGCCCATTCTAAGAGCAGCCAGATGAGCAGGTAGATGTTCACACCTTAGCTAGAATGGGTTGGCCAGAGCTTCCTTAGACTGTTAAGTATAAGTTACTTGCCTTGGAGTACCGCGTGCCTGCTGCTGGTTTGGGATTGGTGAGAATTTCAAAGATGCCTCTTTCTGGTTTGGAATTGGTGGAAAATCTCCTCTTCCACTTGACTGCTACCCTCCCCCCACCCCACCCTCTTTGGCAAACTGACCAGAGACAGCCCCCAGGAGCTTTGAGAGGAGGGAGTAAATGAGCTGCCACGCACACGTGGGGAGGGGGTTGTCAGGGTCCAGGCGTCACTCTCAGCCACATCCCACACAGGCCTCAGAGACCTGGTCCTGCCCAAGCACCGTTTCCTTAGAACACACTGATCAGCACACAGATGGCTCTTCCCGGCACCCTAGGCTGTCAGCTGGCAGGCCCCCCCC